CCTCCTGAGTCACTTGCCAGAAGAAGTCCTGCCCAATTGCCGAGTACTGACGATGCCTCACTCGAGGGCACCAGCAGGCTGTGCCCCAGGTTGACTGAACCCTGCAGCGACTACTATGATGACTGCTTCACCGCTCCAGAGGAGACCATACCCTGTTATGTCACAGTTCAGCTGCAGCGATGTCTCCTGCATTGCAGTATCTGTCCAGACACAGGAAGGAGTGCAGTGATGCCCATCGACGCTCACTGCCTTAGACTATGATGTTTAGCACACCAAACATTTTTTTCTTCCCTCCCTGTAGGAAGTTTTTTTTTTTCCATGTCCATATGTATACATATGTTTTTATTTTGTATTCTGTGCCCTGTTCCTGCAAGAGAGAGATTGAGTTTTTTTGTTTCTGCCACTTATGGTCGAGGATGACCCTGGTAGTGAGTGGCCGAGCGAATGTAGACAGCCTGTATTGTCTGCATAGACAGCCTATGCTGTCTGCCAGCCGAGTTCATATTTCGTGCCATGCGTGTGCTGCCACCTGTAGGCGTCTCAGTGGGCATGCCACTTGAAACAGAACCACCCTGCCTCTCTATCACTTGGCGCCAATCCTTCACACAGTCAACAAGGCCTACTCCTCTCTCCCTAGCTGGCATGGCCCACTGGGGCCATGGGCACAAACACACTGCCTGTGTACCCAGATATTGCAAATAAAGTAAGAAGCCTCCAAAGCCTTATCATTGAACCCCACCTGCAACGTGACAATAAACTTTTCAAAAACAAAGGTGCTAAATATGAAGCTTTATGGTCTCAACTCATTATAGAAAAAAAAGTAGTGCAACAGTTTAAGATACCTACATCAAATTTTTCATAAGAAAACTTTATTTTGTAAGAGAGCACAAGTGATATACATAGTGACACAACTGGCACTATTTCCCTTGTTTTGAAAGTTTTCTTTATCCACCCTATCATCTTCCTGACCGTCTTTTTTTTTTTTTTTTTAACACACCAGCCATCTCCCACCAAGGTAGGGTGACCCAAAAAGGAGGAAACACATTCCCTGTCATTCATTTAATTGCTGTCTTGCCAGAAGTATGCTGGCATCACAGTTCAGACAAGCCTCTGAACTGCAATATCTTCACCCCTTCTTCAGAGTGCATTCACTGTACTTGGAATCTTCAAGTCCAGTTAACTGGTTTCCCTGAATCCCTGTTGAAATGACATTTGCTGGAAACTTATCAGGTTATGCATGATGTGGTGAAAATTATTATGGCTTATTTTTGTTGGGGCTCTTAGGTAATCTTCCCTAGCTTTGACTCACAACAGTCAATAAAGCTCATAGGTATCTATTAAGTGTTGGGTAAATAGGGGCAGAAGGAGTAAGATTTACTCAAATGTCTCTTGTTAATCAGGATTCAATTCCAGGATCTTTCAGTCGGTTAAAAATTCTTTCTTGTTACATTTTTGCATATATTATACTGATAGTTCAGACTGTGTATTAACCCTTTAACCATGTCCCAACAAGTGATGACTGTCTGACATATAAGCACTCAATTTTTCTAAGCTTCAAATTTGCTGCATGTTGCCATTTTAGGCCTCAGCTATGTTATTTGGGTCACCACCTCATTTCTCCTAGGAAAAAACAGGCTGCATGAATATGCATGGGGCATTGTAAGTAATATCACCCAGTAAACACAGGCTCACAATGGATGGCTGAGACACCCATCTTTCTTGCAGTGAAATATTAGAAATACTGTTCAATAAAGACAACAGTAACACTGAGGATGACGACAATGGAGAATCTTTTCCTGGGTTTGAAGGGGACAGCAATGAAAGAAGTACAATTTCAACACAAGATATAGCAGTTCCACCCACCTCAGTAGAGTGCTGAATCAAGTAACAGTGATGTAGAATACTCACCCATGAAATGAATACCAGTGCAATGTTGAACTAAGTTTAATTCTCATTCATAAGTTGTTACACTGTTTTACAGTAACATATCTAGACAGGATGATACTCGTGCATGACATAGCAATGGTGATTGTGACACTGATGTTGCTTTTAGTGGTATCAGAAAAATGCATGCAGCAGCAACACCAGCTGTGACAACAGCATCAGTCATGCCAACATGAAGATAAGATAAGAATAGCTGTAATAACACCACCACCACTCATGACAAAACAAGCCATGACAAAGGCACAACCTGTGACACCATTAGCCATGGCAATATCATTAACTGTGACAGCACCACCTACCATGCCAGCAGCAGTAGTCATGCTAAGTATCAGTATTGGCAAAAATTTTGGTATTCTATCAATAATGAAACCACATATGTAGTCATAAAAGGATATGAAAGAATAGATAAATTACATATTTTAGTACCTTCAACAGGGATAAAGGCCAAAGGTATACTAGAAAATTTTACTTTGCAAATTATTTTCATGGGGAAACGCTAAATCCATATGGTCATAGAGTAACTAAAGAATAGCAAGCAATCAGGTTCAATAATAATAATAATCTCTATTTCTACAAGTACATGTACAATGTATAAAGACCTAGTTGACAGCAATGATATACTATATAGAAAGCCCTTTGTTATGCAGAGCATTTCGGGCAAGTTTAGTCAATTTTGTTCCCAAGAATGCGACCCACACCAGTTGATTAACACCCAGATGCCTATTTTACTGCTAGGTGAATAGGGACAGCAGGTGTCTTAAGGAAACACATCCTGATGTTTCCACCCATACCGTGGATTGAACCATGGATCTTAATTAATGTGTGAGATGAGTGTACTAGCACTCGAGCTATGGGCAGCTCTAATTCTGTGGATCAAGAACCCTTCACAAGCATAAGAATATAATAATGAAGCACTGCAGGACTACTGGCCCATACTAGGCAAGTCCAAATGACACCTAACCACACCTACTCTTAAACATTGGAACCTCCACTAACGAGTTTAATTCGTACCATGACCTTGCTCACATCTGGATTTGCTCGTTTGCAGAGTCAATTTTCTTCATTTAAATTAATTGAAATGAATTAATCTGTTCCAGCGAAATTCCAGGCATCATAAAATACTTCAATAATTTGCCTAATATCAACTCTACGGCTTATTTATTCATCACAATTCATCTAATATAACATAATAAACAATATAAATAACATAGCAACCTGATATATACTCTAGAATGAATAAAATATGTCATTATATATGTGGCGGCGTCGGTGGCCGATGAGAGTTTGCCTGGAGACAGGACAAAATACTCCTTGAATATTTCGTTATCATCAATTCTATGGCTTATTTATCTATCACAATTCATTTAATATGACATAATAAACAATATAAATAAAAACCTGATATATACTCGAGAGTGAATAAAACACGTGACAAGTGGAGGCGGCCATAACCGCTCCAGCATTGTTGTGATAAACACTGCCATCTAGTGACAGACTTTTGAAGCCATCTATTATTATAATTATTATTATATAATTATTATTATTATATGGATCGGACAGTTAAAAATAGGAGAGGAGAGTTATTAAATGGAGAGTTAAAGGTATCGGGAAGATGGAGGGAATATTTTGAGGAATTGTTAAATGTTGATGAAGATGGGAAGCTGTGATTTCGTGTATAGGACAAGGAGGAATAACATCTTGTAGGAATGAGGAAGAGCCAGTTGTGAGTGTGGGGGAAGTTTGTGAGGCAGTGATTAGAATGAAAGGGGGTAAGGCAGCTGGGATTGATGGGATAGAGATAGAAATGTTAAAAGCAGGTGGGGATATAGTTTTGGAGTGGTTGATGCTATTATTTAATAAATGTATGGAAGAGGGTAAGGTACCTAGGGATTGGCAGAGAGCATGCATAGTTCCTTTGTATAAAGGCAAAAGGGACAGCTGAACAGTATTTAGATAAGGCTAAAGAAGTTTTTGTGGCATTTATGGATTTGGAAAAGGCATATGACTGGGTGGATAGAGGGGCAATGTGGCAGATGTTGCAGGTGTATGGTATAGGAGGAAGGTTACTGAAAGCAGTGAAGAATTTTTATGAGGATAGTGAGGGTCAGATTAGAGAATGTAGAAGAGAGGGAGATTATTTCCCAGTAAAAGTATGCCTTAGGCAAGGATGTGTGATGTCACCATGGTTGTTCAATATATTTATAGATGGGGTTGTAAGAGAAGTGAATGGGAGGGTTTTGGCAAGAGGTGTGGAGTTAAAAGATAAAGAATCAAACACAAAATGCCAGTTGTCACAGTTGCTCTTTGCTGATGACACTGTGCTTTTGAGAGATTCTGAAGAGAAGTTGCAGAGGTTGGTGGATGAATTTGGTAGGGTATGTAAAAGAAGAAAATTAAAAGTGATAGGAAAGAGTTAGGTGATGAGGATAAAAAGAAGATTAGGTGACGAAAGACTGGATATTAGATTAGAGGGAGAGAATATGGAGGAGGTGAATGTTTTCAGATATTTACGAGTGGATGTGTCAGCAGATGGGTCTATGAAGGATGACGTGAATCATAGAACTGATGAGGGGAAAAAAGGGTGAGTGGTGCACTTAGGAGTCTGTGGAGACAAACAACTTTGTCTGTGGAAGCAAAGAGGGGAACGTATGAAAAATACCAACACTATTATATGGGTGTGAAGCATGGGTGTTGAATGTTGCAATGAGGAGAAGGCTGGAGGCAGTGATGTCATGTGTGAGGGCAATGTGTGGTGTGAATATACTGCAGAGAATTCATAGTTTGGAAATTAGAAGGTGTGGGATTACCAAAACTATTATCCAGAGGGCTGAGGAGGGGTTGCTGAGGTGGTTCGGACACATAAAGAGAATAGAACAAAACAGAATGACTTCGAGAGCGTATAAATCTGTAGTGGAGGGAAGGCGGGGTAGGGGTCAGCCTTGGAAAGGTTGGAGGGAGGGGGTAAAGGAGGTTTTGTGTGCGAGGGGCTTAGACTTCTAGCAAGCATGCATGAGCGTATGTGATAGGAGTGAATGGAGACAAATGGTTTTTAATACCTGATGTGCTGTTGGAGTGTGAGCAAAGTAACATTTATGAAGGGATTCAGGGAAACCGGCAGGCTGGACTTGAGTCCTGGAGATGGGAAGTACAGTGTCTGCACTCTGACGGAGGGGTTTTAGTGTTGCGGTTTTATAACTGTAGTATAAAGCACCCCTCTGGCAAGACAGTGATGGAGTGAATGATGATGAAAGTTTTTCTTTTTCAGGCCACCCTGCCTTGGTGGGAATCGGCCGATGTGTTAATAAATAATAAAAAATTATTATACATGTATTATTATTATACGTATTATATTATTGTTATTATTATTATATTATATTATTATTATTATATTATATTATTATTATTATTATATATTATTATACTATTAATATATTATATTATTATACTATTATTACTATATGTATTATTATTATTCTTATTCTTCTTATTATTATTACAATATAAATAATTTGGAATTTTTATTCACACAAAAAATAGAAGATTTACTGTTATGAGAGTACAGTACTGCATTATTGTAATAATTGTTTAAATAATGTCAATCCATTCATGACTGCATATTGGAATGGTGACGTCATCTGTTTACTCTTGAAAATTGGCAAAAATAGAGCATTTCTGCTATTTTGAACACATTTTCAAGGTGGTACTTGTCATGAAACCATTCAAAATCATATCTATTGCTCTAATATATATTCCATTCTATCAAATGGGACCAAAAAACGAGAATACAACCATAAAAACCATACAAAAATACCGCTAAGGGGTGGCTAATTGCTGATAAGTGAACTCAATTATTTATGTCTGATTTCTTTCATTTTTGGTGTACGTTAAGAAGTGTCTTTCCGTTATACATTGCCCAAGTTTCAATAAGACAGCTCAACAAACAAATGAGATCCAACTCCCTAGATCAAGAGCAAGAGCCCCTCACCAGCATCAAGTAACCTCCCTTGAGGCCCGCTCGCTTACGGAAATTTCGCTTACGTATGGAAGCAAGAAATCGACCGATTGACTGCTTGTATTTGGAAAAACTCGCACATGGATGCACTCACAAGTGGAGGTTCCACTGTACTTGTCCAGCCTATATTTAACCCTTAAACTGTCCAAACGTAGATCTACATTCACTCGCATGGTGCTCCGAATATTTTGAAAATAAAAAAAAAATAGTTCTTTTTCTTTTAAAATGAAGAGCACATTTTTCTACATGTTATAGGATTAAAAAAAAAAATTTAGGGTCAGTACTTACCGAGATATAAGACCGTGAAGTTGGCTCTGGATGCTCACCTGTCAGCAACATCGACTCCTGCCGCTTGTAGAAGTGTTGCCGATATACCTTTTTTCTTGTTTTTATTTTAATTTATATACTTTTAATGTTCTGATAATTACAATTTATAATAGTTCTTGTAATTTCATAGCCAATCTTTGTTCTGACACTAATATTAGGTACTGAAATAGTGCTCAAATAGTCACAATCACATTGACAGGTGAACATTTACACCTGCCGGGGTTATTTGCTATTGTCTAGAAATATATACAAGGTATTTATAGGCCCCAACAATGTTTTAGATACCCTGGCATATACCTTGAAGCATGGTGTTATGAAAGGCATCCCTATACTGTTGAGAGCCCAGTGACATTTGATAAATGCCCACTGCTCCAGCTAACCCTCACTGTATTTGTTATCACTGTTACACACAAACATGTCTTGTTTCTCTGTCTATTTATGTCTGTCTATCTGCCTGCTTGTCTGTCTGTCTGTCTCTACTTATCTGTCTTTCTGTCTGCCTGGAGTATATGTGTATCACACTCCTTGAAGAATCGTGTTATGACATCTGTTATCAGCTCGGTGACATTTGATAAATGGGTGCTCAGAGGAACCCTGGCTTTATTTGTTTTCACTGATACACACAAACATGTTTCTGCCTATCTGTCTGTCTGTCTATTTATCTGTCCATCTTTGCCTGGAATTTTTGGATTATCCTAGGTAATTTACACTATGTATAATAACTGTACTTATGTGTACATGTGAGACAGAGATACAGATAGACAGATATATAGATAGAGATATAGACAGAGATATGGACAGATAGAGATATAGACAGATAGAGATATAGACAAAGAGACAGCCAGAGACAGCCAAAGCAAGCCAGCCAGCCAGTCAGCCTGCGGAATACATAAGAAATAAGGAACACTGCAGCAGGCCTACTGGCCTATGCAAGGCAGGTACATGTTACCCTCCACCCCCAGCTTAGACCAATGACCCACCTAGTCAGGTCACATCCACTGAAGGAAGGAGCATGACATTAGACCTAGCAGCACAAGCTAGTCAGGTCCAACTCACACTCATCCACACTCACTCATGTATTTATCTAACCTATTTTTACTTTCCTCTTCAAATGGGAGTGTTACTGCGACATGGCATCAGTGAATCCCCAGTGTTTGCCATGCTATTTGCTCCAGCTGGCGCTTAACTGAACTGGTGCTCCCACATCTTTTTAATAGTGCGCACACTGAGTGCACAGACCCATTCTTTCATGTCTAGGCGACTCAGGCATACGTAATAAGGCAAATAGATTATTGGGATTTATATCAAGAAGTGTAAGCAACAGAAGTCCAGAGGTTATACTGCAGCTTTATACATCATTAGTAAGGCCTCACCTAGATTATGCATCTCAGTTCTGGTCTCCATATTACAGAATGGACATAAATTCGTTAAGAAACATTCAACGTAGAATGACTAAATTAATACATAGCATTAGAAATCTTCCTTATGAAGAAAGATTGAAGACTCTTAAATTACATTCACTTGTTAGACGAAGAATGAGGGAAGACATGATTGAGGTGTATAAGTGGAAGATGGGTATTAATAAAGGGGATATAAATAAAGTCTTGAGGATATCTCTCCAAGAGAGAACCCGCAGTAATGGATTTAAATTAGATAAGTTTAGATTTGAAGGATGTAGGAAAGTATTGGTTTGGAAATAGGGTAGGTGATGAGTGGAACAGTCTACCTAGTTGGGTTATTGAGGCTAGGACTTTGGGTAGTTTCAAATTTAGGTTGGATAAATGCATGAGTGAGAGGGGTTGGATTTGAGTGGGACTTGCATATCAGAGCTTATTTCTTGGGTAGCATTGAAGGTTGGGTTATGCAAATGTTTTGTTGTGGGATGAATTGTAAAGGACCTGCCTAGTATGGGCCAACAGGCCTGCTGCAGTGTTCCTCCTTTCTTATGTTCTTATGAAAAGGAATGAAAATTAAAACGTTGATCTACGTTTGGAGCGATACTTGTGCAAACGAAGATCTACATTTGGACAGTTTAAGGGTTAAAGCTACCCAAAGTTCTCACTTCAACTGTGCTACTTGGGAGTCTGTTCCATTTATTTACAACTTTACTGGTAAACCAGTACATCTCTATGTCCTTTTAAAGTTTCCTAAATTTGTCCAGCTTTAATCAATTGTTACGAGCGGGTTCTCTCTTGGAGAGATCCTCAAGACTTTGGATACTTTCAGCACACTAACATGTATTGGCCCCTATCTGGTATAGACAGACTTATATCAAAGAATAACTAATGACATTCATCACTTTTAAGTGTTAAGTGTTTTGGGGAATTATCGTCAATACAGCTCAGTTTGAGAACAAGCCTCCTAGGATGGATTACGAGCCATTAAGAAGCACATAGAAAAGTAGAAGTAAGTGTAGAGTGAATGTAAGCTAAAGCTTGTATGATTTAAGATAAGATTTATGTGTTAACGAGACAGAAAGAAAAAAGCAACATTCTTGCAAGAGTGGAAATTTTTTTTAAACAAGTTCCACTTCACACTCTGACAGAACAATAGTACCTTACTAGATGACTGTTGTAATAAAGTTGGTAGAATTACCGACAATATGTAAAGTATGTAAAAGGACACAAGTGCAACTAATGTGACATTTTATTCTGGCAACGTTTCGCTCTCCAGGAGCTTTATCAAGCCGTTACAAATAATACATGGACACAGAGGGTATATATAGGCTCAGAGTGAGGTGCAATACTAGTGGTGGTAGTAGTAGTAGTGACAAAAGTTATAGCAGTAGTAGTAATACAATATGGAAGAACAATTAATTCGTACATGAGTAAAAGGATATAAAAGCTATTACTTGGGTAACATAAAAATAGGTTGGACAAATATAGACTGGATAGAGGCAGCCTGTTTCAGTGTTCACTCTCTGTAATGTGCTTTGTGTAGTATAACAGGAGAGACTATGTGATGGCAGGGTTTACTGTTTTCAGGAGGATTCTTGCTAAGACTTCAGAGATGGTGAAGCTGCCGTTGTTTTGTTTAATTGTATTCGAAACAGCGATCAGTGCTGATTCGAGGCACTTGCGTCTGCGGAAATTAGTTTCTTTGATCACTAATTGGGCGTCCCTGAATTTCATGAGATGATTGGTGGAATTTCGGTGTTGTACACAGGCGTTGTTCAAATTATCGTTCCTACATGCGTAAATGTGTTCATTGAGGCAGGTGTCGAGGTTTCTTGCTGTTTCACCTACGTAAATCTTGTCACAGCCTCCACAGGGTATACTAGTGTAAACTCCTGCGTTGACTGGTTTGTGGTGCTTTGATTTTGTCCTGGTTAGATCCTTTATTGAAGTGCTAGAAACGATGGCGACTCTGGTGTTAGCTTGTGAAAGTACTTTAGAAACATTCAGTACAACCTGGCTGTTGGGAAGAATTATAACTTTAACCTCTCAGACCAATCACGTCAGGAATAGGCAGTGCTCCACACAAACTTGCCGGAGTTCTTGCCAAACATCTTTCCTGCCTTCTGGGGACCATCAGCCCCGCTCATCTTAAACACTCAGGTGACCTTCTCAACCGCATCCGAAACCTCTCCATCCGTAACAAGAAACTAAGCAGTTTGGATGTGACTTCCCTCTTCACAAAAGTACCTACCACAAAAGCCATCGAGGTTCTACGACGTAAAGTCAATCAGGACCTTAATCTTCCTCTACCTCCCGGAGATTTTGTTGACTTGATTGAACTATGTGTAAATTTCAACTGTTTTTCTTTCAATAACAAGCTCTACAAACAAACCTACGGCATGGGAATGGGGTCCCCCATCAGTGCCGTCCTAGCCAACTTATACATGGAACACCTAGAGTTCGAACACTTCGCCAACATCATCCATTCAAGCGTCACTTGGTTACGTTACGTGGACGACGTCCTTGTAATAACTCCCAAATGTTTTGATGTATGGAATCTTCAGGCAAGGCTCAACACAGTTGATCCGGCGATCCAGTTTACACTAGAAGAAGAGTCCAATGACAAGCTACCTTTCCTCGACGTCCTCATTCACAAAGTAGACAACAACCTAAGATTTCAAGTTTATCGGAAACCTACCAATAAAAATGATCTCACACACTTCTATTCCAGTCAAGATACCAAGACCAAAAGAGGCATCATCATTGGGTTTTTCCTAAGAGCATACCGAATTTGTAGTCCCGAGTTTCTTGACGAGGAATGTACATACATTCACCAAACATTCACTGAGTTACATTTTCCTTCCTTTTTCATCAAAGACTGCAAGAAAAGAGCTCTTCAGATCATTAATTTTCCACGCACCAACACCACTCCCAACAAAGTTATAATTCTTCCCAACAGCCAGGTTGCACTGAATGTTTCTAAAGTAATTTCACAAGCTAACACCAGAGTCGCCATCGCTTCTAGCACTTCAATAAAGGATCTAACCGGGACAAAATCAAAGCACCACGAACCAGTCAACGCACGAGTTTACACTATACCCTGTGGAGGCTGTGACAAGATTTTCATAGGTGAAACAGCAAGAAACCTCGACACCCGCCTCAATGAACACATTTACGCATGTAGGAACGATAACTTGAACAACGCCTGTGTACAACACCGAAATTCCACCAATCATCTCATGAAATTCAGGGATGCCCAATTAGTGATCAAAGAAACTAATTTCCGCAGACGCAAGTGCCTCTAATCAGCACTGATCGCTGTTTCAAATACAATTAAACAAAACAAAAAGGCAGCTTCACCATCTCTGAAGTCTTAGCAAGAATCCTCCTGAAAACAGTAAACCCTGCCATCACATAGTCTCTCCTGTTATACTACACAAAGCACATTACAAAGAGTGAACACTGAAACAAGCTGCCACTTTCCAGTCTATATTTGTCCAACCTATTTTTATGTTACCCAAGTAATAGCTTTTATATCCTTTTACTCATGTACGAATTAATTGTTCTACCATATTGTATTACTACTACTGCTACAACTTTTGTCACTACTACTACTACTACTACCACCACTAGTATTGCACCTCACTCTGAGCCTATATATACCCTCTGTGTCCATGTATTATTTGTAACGGCTTGATAAAGCTCCTGGAGAGCAAAACGTTGCCAGAATAAAATGTCACATTAGTTGCACTTGTGTCCTTTTACTTTACATAGATGACTGTTGTCTACAAGCTTACTACTTTCTAAAAAAAAAATATTCATCTATATATTTATTTTTGCAAAGCGGTGTAACAGTGAATGAATTCAACGAGGAGGTAGTAAGTAAGAGTGTAAGTTTATTCAGGTATACACAAATATAGTTACATAGATTAGCAGCATATGTGTAGAGAACCTAGGATAACCCAAAAAAGTTAGAGTATTGAATGAAAAATTGCTGTAGACGGGACACCATGAGTATTTAACTCTACTCCTGTAGCTACATACAGATAATTACACTTTACCATCACTTGACAGATAGATAATTACATTTTACATTCAATTAACTCTACAAACAGATAATCACACTTTACATTCTCTTAGTAAGTTAATTTAGTTACAGGTACACATCAAAACAGTTACACAAATTGGCCTACTTAGTAATGCATGTGTAAATTATCTAGTATAACCTAGACAGTGACTCATTCTCACTTATTTCTAAAAATATATAATTACACTTCACATTCTTACTTACCTAACTAGCTCCTCACAGAGATTTACAGTAACATTTATATATTCATCCGCGAAGCTCAGCATCTGCCAGAGTCAACTGGAATACTTGGGAATGTATTGATTGCTGCATTTAGAACGAGTTGTAACAAGTGACCACGTCCTACACCTGTTGAAGTTGTCGTCGTGACGTCACATGTAAACAACACTTCCTTGCGTCTCGCATTTGCGCAACTTTTCTCGACGCTTCCAC